TCTGCTTACTGCAGAAGGAACGTTACTCTGCCTGTTCTCATCTTCTAACCCATCTGTTCAAGGGCTCTGTGTGAAGAGCAGTCACTAGTGAAGACTGGAGCAAAATAATTGCTGAGTACCTCAGCCTTCTCTTTGTCTGTCATTACCAGACTGCCTGTGTGTTCACCCGGTGGGGTGTATGCCTTCTTGGACTTCCCTTTCTGGTTTGTGTACCTGTAGAAACCTGTATCTTCTTTTCCTTCTCAGAAGCGGTAATTAAATCCAGGCTGAGAACTATGCTATTGCTATGACATAACTGTGCTGCCTTTGACAGGACATCCTAGCCATCAGTGCAAACAAATGCTCAACTGTATGTGCGCTACTTTACTAGTGATTTACTTATTTACACTTAGTGATTCCCCTTAACATTCATAGAATCACTCAGACAAGAAAAGACCTCTAGGAGCATCGAATCCAACCATCACCTCATCCCCATCATGCACAGACTAGATGTTACACCTACAGATTTCTTGAATCCCTCCAGGGATGGTAACTCCATCATCTCCCTGGGGCAGCCTGTTCCAATGCCTCACTACTCCTGAGAAGAAATTTTTCCTAATATCCAACCTGAACCTTCTCCAGCACAACATAAGGCCATTAACTTTCATCCTATTGCTATTGCATGGGAGAAGAAGCCAACACCCACCTCACTACAACCTCCCTTCAGGCAGTTGTAGAGAGCAATATGATCTTCCCTGAGCCTCCTCTTCTCCAGACTGAGCAATCCCAGCTCCTGCAGTCACTCGTCATAAGGCCTGTGCTCCAGACTCTGTAGCTTAAGGGGCTCGGTAGAAGGGAATTTAGGAAATGGACCTCTTATAGACCTCAGATCGCAGTCCAGAAGTATAAAAGACATGCCTACTGCACTAATATCTGGAAAATGAGCTGAAGCTCATTTAAACTTTCAACAGCATTTTACAGTCAGAGCACTTCTCAAGCATTCATTAATTAAACCTCAGAGTGTTTCTTCAACACGGAGGCAAACAGATCGAAACAACCTGGCAGCTCTTCCCCCACCGCAGCGCTTCAGGAACAAAACAAACTCAAATCCTTTGCCAGAGAAATCATTTATGGGGAAAGAGTGACATCTACTGCTTAACGCTGCGCTCACACCCTTCCGCTCCGAGGAACCAAAGCGAAGGGCGGAGCACCGAGGGGAAGAAACGAATCAAACAACAACAACAAAAAAAAAAAAAAACAAATAAAAACAACAGCCGAACAACCTAAGTAACTAACACCGAGCTTCCTGGGTCTTAGCGAAAATACCCTTAACATCACTGCCGCGCAGCTCGCTCAGACGAGCGGGAGAGCAGCCTGCAGGCACACCGGCCACGCGGCGCTACCCCAGTGCCGGCCGCCGCCAGCCGACCGCGCTGGTTGAGCCGAGCCCGCCGGCTGAGGACGGGGCCACAGCGGCCCTTCCCTCCGCAGAGCCTGCCCCGGGCGGCGGCGGCGGCACCTCCCGGAGCTCCCCCGTCCCGACGGCAGCGGCCCGGCCGTGGCGCACCGGCCGCAAGGTGGCGCTGTGGGACTACGAATGCAGCCGCCGGAGCCCGACTTGGGGGGAGGGGATGCGGAGCAGCGCCGATGCCCCTCAGCGCCAGGAGGTGTCTCTGCTGTGCAAAGGAGCGAAGCTGCTTCTACTCACCGGAGAGCTGCACCCCGTCAGCCCCGCACCCAGCGCCCTGCAGCTGCAGCCGGGAGAGGAGGACGCGCAGCTGGAGGTGACAGACGGGACCCGGCGGTGCCCCTGCGCAGGACGGCTGTCCCCGACCGTCAGCGCTGCCCGGAGTCAGCGCTGGCCTTTCATCTCCTGTGCGCTCGTTCTTGCAGGCACGGGAGTTGATGACCTGCTGGAGGCAACGTGAGGCTGGGCACCCCGTTCTTCTCGTCGGAAGGCTCCGTACCCGCCACAATACGAAGATAGGGATAGGCTGGTATTGCAGTGCTCAGCCACGCTGGAGATGCGTGGGTAGACTTTGAATGGGCTGCACGAGGGGAACTGCAAACGTGTTTTGAAGTGCAGGCTGTTTTCTTTCATCTTCTTCCTTTCCTGTGCAGACTGTGAAGCAGTCTGTCATAACTTGTGTACATATTCTTGGTGATAGCTTGGAGCTTATGAGCAGTGTTGGAATAGTCTGTGCATTAGATGGGAGAAGCAGCCTGCTAGGTTGGAATAGTCCAGTGGTATGCTTGTCCAGCTCTGGTAGCTGCTCATTAGAGTAATATTGCTATTTTTTGAGTTTATGATGGCTTACAAGGGATAGACAATAATGTTGAGAGGAGAAAAAGCATGGCTAGAGTCAATGGTACTGTGATGCATTTTGTAGTTGTTGCTAAGGTGCAGGATGTTGCAGCAATAAAAGAAATGGGCAAACTCAAAGAGCTGACTTCCTTCTTTCCTCCGAACTTCATGTTGAGGTGATGATAGTCACTTTCTTTCTGCCAGGTCTCCCAGAGCTATTATATATTGGGTATTCTGGAAAAGAACAACTTGGTAGTGGTTACTGTGATTCTTTACACACACACTAAAGGGAGATTACTGTTTTTATCCAATTCTTAAGCAAACATTTCTAGTCTAGATTGCTAGCTATTTCACTGATAAGGGAATACTTCTCTGAAAAGACTTGTGAAGAATGAAGCTTGCAGTTTCTGTTTTTATTTTAAAGGGATACAATATCCCTGGCTAAACCCTCTTAATTTAGAGGTCATACAGAAATTACTCTGACTGTAGAAACATGAACATACAACTGCTGGTGTGTGATTAGACTCTCAAACAGATCTGTATTCTTATCCTTGCAATAGCATATAGTTTATCTGTAGATTTTACACCTCTCCTATCATAGCTGTATTTGTTTGTCTGGACCTGTTCTGTTATTGTCTGTGATGTTTACTCGTTATGGGGGTAAATAAGAATGCAGACTGTACTGTGCAGCACAGTGTATAGTAAATTGCTAGTAGTCAGTGTGATTTTAAAGGCAAATGTGTGACTGAATTCTACTGTGTTTGAAAAGCAGCTGAAGTTCATGCCTTTCACTGGCAGTCTCAGTGAGGAGCCTACTAAATCAGGGTCATGAAGCCTAGGGCTTCCTATTCACATGGGAATGAAGTCAAAAATCCCCAGGAAGGACTTGGAAGTGGTGGAATTTCTCCATCTGTGGAACAAATGATTGAGAGATGCAAAAGCTCTCATAAATACAAGATACATTTGTTCCTATTCATTGCAGGGGAGTTGGGCAAGATGAGCTTTAAAGGTCCCTTCTGACTCCAAGGCTGCAATGATTCTGTGTTTCTATGTTAAAACAGGGAAGAATTAATGATTATGCTTTGTTTCCACAGTGTGACAAGTGAAAGAAATTTCGCAACGTGGTGCTAATATCAGCAGAGTCAGAAAAAGCACTGGACTTTACTATGAAGTGCAGGCAGCAAAGGTGTAGGAGGTGAATGCTCATCTGCATACTGTGTAATGAGGCCAACGCTGATTAGAAACTACAGTCACGTGAAAGAAGTATCTGTCGGGGCTTCTGGTGAGCTGTAAACTCAGGAAGAGCTGGAAACTGATGACTTTCATGAGGGAATGGTGTCAGTAAGGCAAGTGATTACCAGGCCCTACTGATGACCTGTGACAGTTCTTAACATCGGATTTAACCCTAAGCCTTGAGTTAAAATATTTTCAAGGGTGTTGAGCAGAATAAGAAATCCTATTATCATTACGTGTTGGTAGGGATGATGGGATATTAAAACTCTAGCCTGAAGCTGGTTAATGAAATGCTTGTAACAGAAGTGCAGAATGCAGGTTGTGGTTAGCTAGGACTTCTGGGAAGAGAGTAGAAAATTGGCGGCCAGGAAATGCTTCAGAGAGCGAGGGAAAAGCCAAGACTTCAGCCTCCTTGGATCAGGGGAAGCTCGAGAGCAGATGACTGAGTGGAATGAGGTGCAAATGTAGCAATGTGTGGCATTTCCAGGAGTAGGAGACCTTTTGGATTCCTTCTCCTGTGGTAACGTATGTGAGTAGTGATCTTAAACACTTACCCTCTGGTCTGCTAGATCAGATTAGTTCAACTCTTGTTCCAAATGGAAAACTGTATCCCGCTTAAATAACAGGAGGCAGGTTGACCTGTCTGTTCACGTGATGCAGTCCTCTGATTAGTTATGGACTGGCTTGCTGTCATTTGGACACAGCGTGGGGTCAGAGATCAGCTGGAGTGCATGGAATTCTGCCTGAGGGTCAACGGAGAGCCAACTGCGATTTGATGGTTAGCATTAAAACGAGAACAGGGATAGGGAACACACCGCTGGGGCAAACCACCTGAACATTTTAATACTGCACTCCAGCAGATAATACAGGGGAGCATATCTCCGTGGCTGTTCACAAGCCTGCCTACATCACAAAATCTTACATCTGTTGATGGATATATTTATGTGATGATTCATCGGAATGCGCATTACTTTGGGTTGGTGCTGTATGGGATTTGTGGGGTCTTAAACCACACTCAACTACTTCTTCCTTATCCTGTGTATGGCTTTTTTGTTTTGTTCTTTTTTTTTTCCTCCTCCCTCCATCAGCCATCCAAGTTTATTACAGGAGATGTTCTTAAAAAAAAAAAAAAGAAAGAAAGAAAGAAAAAAAAAGTTACTCCAGCACTCTCTTCCCTTTGGAGCAGTGACAGACTCCTATCTATTTGAAATGTGGGTTAATCATTTTAGTATCTTGTGTTTGTTTGTGTATTTTCCGCTGTACATACAAGCATTTTTTAAAGGAAAATCAGTACAACAGTTCAACTTATGTACAGTGCAACCATTTGAGTTTATGTACAGTGCAGCCATTAATTGCCAAGTCTAGAGAATGAATATGCCTGCAGAAACTGCTGCAGAGTACTGAGGCTTCTTTCCTTTTTTGGAAGGTAGGAGCGTGAAAGAGCCACTTGGAAGGATATTCCAGCTATCTTTGGTCACAGTAATCAGTTTTAGCTGGCCTTTATTCAGAATCTATACCACTCACTTTTTAAGCTATTACTGCAGTAATATCTGCAGAAAATCTCTGACAAGTTACCCGGCTTTATAATTTATTAGCTCAGGTTTAATGTCCAACAGCAAATACCAGGTAGCTGAGATACGTATCTAGTCAAAACTGTATAGTAAAATTCCTCAGCTTTTCAGCAAGAAACAGTTTTCAAAAGAGAATAAGACTTTAACTGACAATGTCTTCAAAAATCAAGTACCATCTGTACCACTGAATAACAAAAATAGAATTATCCAGTTATCATGAATTAGTTATTCTGCTGTTTTGGTAGTAGGAACAGTTAGGTTATGGCTATACTCCATTTTCTTACAGTTCTGCTCCTTCAGAAGTCCTGTCTTACAAGGCTCACTGGAATAAAGCAGCCCTGAACAAGGCAATATGCAGCACCCATACTGAGGATCTTCATTTAATTGCTTTAATGCGAAGACTAGATCTATTGTATCTCTGAGCCAAAATGTTTTTAGATGCTGAAAATGGCCAGCACTGCTTCTGCAACAGCAAATTTATCCCACAAGCAAATCAGCATGGATGAGAATGTACTAACAAAAGAAAATGCTGTACAATCTTCTTCAGTCTGTGGCTTTAGAGTAGAACACATATTACTATAGGCAATCTGCTTGTTCTGGCTGACCAAATAAGTGCTTTCTTCTTTTTGCTTTAAAAAGTGTTGGAAACACATTTTCAAGCACATTTCTAAGCATGTTTGTGATAAAGTTGGGAATATCAATTACGTGAATCAATCACAATTTTAGAAGAATATGAATGTAAATTTGGATCTTGAAATCAGACTCCTATGAAAGACAGATGCTGATTGTTTCCAAATTAAGTATCTTTTACACAAATTGCAAAATCATATCCCTGAATTTTCCTTTTTTTTTTTTTTTTTTTCCATTTAATCATTTTTATCTCCATGAAATCAGAACAGTGCCCAAAAGAAGAGATAAAAAGAAATTAAAAGAAGGCATGAGAACATCCCTACCAACTCTGAACATATGTGGGAATCTCCTGACTGGGTTAGGTCAGGAACTATCATGAACTGCAACCCTGTTTTAAGGTACCTGAAGAACTTTAAAGAACTGTAATTATTTTGTAAAAGTGATGGATGTTTGAATGTCTGACATTGGATGTTGAATGACTGACTTGAAGTCTCTGGCTGACACTCAAAATGTTCACTTGCCTTATTCTGTGAGAGGTGTTTGTATTATAGCAATCAAGATAAATGCAGCAATGTATTTTCAGTCTTAATTGTCTTAATTCTTGATAAGAAGCCACTAGAAAGCAGATCACTCAATTGATGTGGAGACCTATGTGTGGACTTCCAAAGAGAGACGCAGAGCATTTAGAAGCACACACTGTTTGTGTGTGACCCTTGGTTTGGGCCAGGCTTCAGACCACAATCTCCATTTTCATGTTATTTTTCTGCACGTGTTGTCAGCGTTCCGAGCTGTGGGACAACAGCTGCATAATTCTGTTCTTTTGTTCAGAATTACTTCACACGCTTTCTCAGATGTATCACCACCACCATCTGCACAGAAAAAAAAAAAAAATAAATAAAAAATCACAAAATCACCAAGGTTAGAGAAGACCTCCAAGACCATCCAGTCCAACCACCCATCCACCACCAGTATTTCCCCACTAAACCACGTGGCACATCAGCCTTAATTCATCAAACAACTTCTCTCAACTCCGCTGAGCGCCTTACGGGAGGCGTTAGGAGGCGCTCTGACTTCCCCTCACAACCACGCACACCGGTGAGATAAGCGCGGCTTTACGGCCACGGACCGCAGCCGGAGATCCCTCAAAGAGCCGGGCGACCTTGCGACCCCGCAAGGCCGGCACAGCTGAGATAACGGCTCCGCCTGCCGTCCTCCCGCACCGCTGCTGCCCCTCATCGCCGTGCAGTAGCTTATAGGAGCTCGGTCACGCCGAACACGAGGCAAGCGGGGACGAGACGGATAGGGAGGGCAAAAGGGCGCGACACGCTTCCGCACGGCGCTTTACGGTCCTGTTACGACACTGTCGTGCGACATCATTCGGGAGAGCCGATGCCTGTGGCGCGCGCCGCCGTAAAGCACGCTGGCGGCAATAGCGAGCGGCACACGTGAAGCGAGAGACCGCGGGCGGGACAGGGAGGAGTCGGAGGAGCCAGGAGGTAAAGCCGTCCTCAGTAGCGGGGCTGCGGCGCCCACCGCCGTCCGGGAGTTGGGTGCCGACACCGGGACTGGCCGTGGGGATCGGAGGCGGGGCTGTGCGGGCCTAGCCAGCCGCGGCCTCACCAGCCGAGCTCGGAGCTGGACTGCGGGAGCCTGCCGCGCTCTGGCGGTGGCAAGCGGGGACGGGCTCAGCGCCGTGCCGCCGCCCCGGGCAGGTCAGGGACGCCGCGGGAAGGGCTCGGGGTCGTGATTCGTTGTGACGTTAGCGGCGTAGAATTGGTGTAACGCTGTTTCTTTCTCCGTTTGCAGTGTTGTCGCGATGAAAGCCTGGAATAACAAGAAGTTTCCAGGAAAGAGCGGGAAAGGACCTCGTGGAAAACAGCTGCGTGGAAAAAGAAAGTTTAAGAAAGATGACGGTAAGGAGGCAAAGGCTTGCTCGTGAGAGCTCTGACTAAACGATTGTTGTACGTGTGAACTTTATTTCTGTCTTGACCAAATTGATGAGCTTTTATGATGAAACGGCTGGCCCAGTGAACTTGGAGAAAACAGTGCCCGTATTCTGTTTGGGCTTCAGTAAGGCACCGTCTCCCATGAGATCCTAAGATAAGCTGATCAAAGTACTGGATGAGCAGTGAGGTGGGTTGAAAACTGGCACAGTGCTGAGAGTTAAAACATGGTGATCAGTAGTGTGAGGTCTGGTTGGAAGCCAGTAATGAGCAGAGCAGCTGATTCACTAGTAAGCTGTGCTGTCATCCAAAGGGACCTGAACAGTCTGGAGGAAAGGGCTGACAGTAAGTTGGGTGCAGAGTTCTGCAAATGGGGAGGAACAGCATCAGGACATGCTGTGGCCACCCCAGTGAAAAGCTGTGCTGTATGGAAGAAGTATTGCTGTTCCAGTTGGCAGTAAGTTAAACTATGAGCCAGCTGTGTGCCCTTGCAGCAAAACAAATGAGTGATATCCTGAGCTTTGTTAAGCAGTGTTGTCACCACATCAGGAGGCATGCTTCTTCAGCTGCTGTCTTAGAAACACTGAGAGTCCTTTGTCTACTTCTGGCCTCCCAGTAGAAGGAAGATGTAGGCATACTGAAGAGACCAGTGAGGGGCCACCATGATGACAAAGAGACTGGAGTACCTCTGCTGTGAAGAGAAGCTTGGAGAGCTGGGACTGTTAAGACTGAAGAGTAGAAGTCCCCGAGGGGGTCTTTTCAGTACCCATAAATACTGCAAAAGACAGTGCAAAGAAGAAGAGCCATGGTATTTTCAGTAGTGCCTGGACAAGAGGCAGAGGGCAAAACCTGGATCACAGGAGGTTCCATCTGAACATTGGGAAGCAGTTCATTACTGTGCAAGTGACAGATTTACCAGAGAGGGTGTGGGATCTCTTTGTTGGAGACCTTCAGAAACCATCTGGACTTTGTGCAGGTCACCCTGCCCTGGGTCACTCTATGTGAGCAGGGGATGGAGCAGATGGACCCAGAGGCTCCTTCCAAGCTCAGCCATGTTCTGATTCTGTGTCACATTCAAAGCTATAGTAATGGTGAACAATTAAAACAGTTTGGAAAAAAAGTAAAGCTAAAGGATTGTAAGCCCTTCAGCTGTATTTGGTTGAGCTAAAATACTCTTGTTAAAAATATGAAGTTGTTGACGTTTTTTCTTATTCTGGTCTTTCCTTTCCTCCATTTAAAAAGCAAGAATTACTAGAGAGTTGAAGCTATGTTGTGCAAAGTGCTATGGATTAGAATTGGGATAATATGTATTCAACTATCTAACATATTCAAATATGGTCGGAACTGATGTCAAAATAGCTCTGACCATAACTGTGAAGAGGCAATTGTGGCACTTGTGATTTTGGTATCTTTAATTCAGATTAATCCTTTTTGTACCTGGGCCTTTATGTTGTAGATTAAAAATAGTGCTTGGACAAGGCAAAACTTTCTGGGAAAACTGAGCAGGAGAGGGGGACTCATGGACTGAAGAAAAAAAAAAAAAACACTGGCTTTGAGAAACAAAAAAAAAATAGTATGGTGTGACAAGGTAGTCTGATTCTTGTTTTAATAATTGTTACTTTGAAGCAACAATGGTTCTAGGGTAATATTTTAATTTGTGGAGTTTTTTTTTTTTGTTTGTTTTTTTTTTTTAATTAGATTCAGTTCCTTCAAAGACTTTTCATAGTAAAAGAGATAAGGAGGAAAAGCCTACATCCATTTCCAAAAAGCCTGTGAAAGGAAATTTAAGACCTGGAAGAGCTAGTGTCAAACAAGTCAAGAATAAACAGCAAACAGAAAAGCTTGCAAAGAAGAGGAAATATGAGGATAGCGCAGAGAGAGGTGAGTAGATCGACTTTTTTTGTTTGTTTGTTTTTTTCTTAGGGCTGACTTAGATGAAATTGAGATTTTTGGTATGCACTTTATACTGGTTTGTCTTCCTCAGCCCTGATCTTGTAATCACTTTTTCCTAATTGACTCAGTGACTCCAAGTTTGGATTTAATGTCTCCTGTGTAATGGTTTATTTCTCTTGATTAAATGTGGGCCGAAGTCATGAAAACCAGCAGTTAGTTATGAGCTGTCTTGAAGTCAAATATAAAGGTGCAGTATTGAGTTTAAATTCATATGCCATCAGAATGTGGAGAAGGACCTGGGGGTCCTGGTGGATGGTAGGTTGGCCAGTGTGTGAGCCAGCAGTGTGCCCTTGTGGCCAGAAAGGCCAGTGAGTGACTTGCAGAATCAAACTCTGTAACCCAAGTGAGATTACAAAGCAGATACAGTTTATTCAGTGCTGTGCAGACTCCAGGTGCGAGGGGGGATAGATCACCTGACTTGCACACCGTCAGGAAAAGTCATGCTCCAGATATAGGCCAAGCTAATACATAATCAATAGTTTTCCCAGAATTCGGGTGCACATTCGTTACACCTCCGAGAGTTCATTAGCATGCAGACCCTTCCCTCCTGCACGTGCACAGTGGGTTGTGGGATGAAGACTTGTTGTTTTCCTCAGGAAGGCTTCTGACCATTTTTGCTGTAAACTCCTGGCCTTCTGGGGGGGCATCCCCCCAAACCGCTTCCTTCTTGCCCTGTGGACCTGCTTGGAGCGGTGAGGCCGTAGCTCAGCGAAGCTGTGGATGCCCAATCCCTCAAGGTGTTCAGAGCTAGGTTGGATGGGACCCAGGGCAGCCTGATCTAGTGGATGGCAGCCCTATCCATGGCAGGGGGTTGGAACTGGTTGGTCTTCGAGGTACCTTGTAAAGGGGTGTAAAGGATTGTATGGAAGAGCCAAAGGGAGAATTCACTGGGTCTGTACAGTCACAGAGTGGTAGGTGCATCTAGGGTCAGTGTTGAAGCTGTGAAGATGTTTGCAGTGCATCCTTTGAGTGAGCTTTGAGGAGAAGAATCATTGTTTGCCTTGTTCTCCTGCTATTCTAAAACTGGAAACTACCAGCTTAGCATGTTTATGAAATATTTGTGCTGGGAAAATGCAGACAAAGCTCCTGGCACATTAGGAATTGAAGTCAAAGAGTTACTGCAGCTCACACTTAAAGGTTTCCCTTGCTCCTCTCTTCTCAACTATAGAAAATAAGTGTTTCTGATGTTTCTGTTTTCAGAGTCAGATTCTAAGAAGCCTAAATGGAATGACTTCAAAAAGAAAAAGAAGGAGTTAAAGCAAAGCAGGCAACTTAATGATAAAAGTAATTATGATATAATTGTAAAATCAAAGCAAATATGGGAGAGCGTGAGAAGGTAATGGTTTTTTTTTTTTGTCTTTCATTGTCATAAGTTGGAGTACTTCCTTTTGGTAACTTTTGTGAAGCTGTGTTTTCACTGTGGAACTGTCTTGAAATGACACCATTACATGCAAGTCTTCAGAGACTTCAAGTGAAGTGTGATCTTTCATCATTATAGAAATATCTGGATTTTTCATTTGTAGACTAAGATGTCTGAGGATTTGTCTTGTCTTTTGAACTATCAACCACAGATTTTTGTCTAATCTTGCAGTTGGATCACTGCAAGCTTGTTGAGGTTTTTAGTGTTTTCTGGAGGGTAGTGTTCTTTGGCAAGTGTAATTCAGGACTGTGGCCTTATGACAGAAAGAGGAGTTAATTTTGCTGCATTGCTCTAATTGTATGTTTTCTACATTTGGCTGTAGGGCACTTAAGGATCTTCTGTATTTTAGTGGCACTAACAGTTCTGATTGCAGAATTGAGTTTCTAGGCTAATTAAAGTTGTTACTAAGAAAATGACTTTGAAGTATGAGTGTCTGGTTTGGTTTCTTGGCACTAAAGCCACTTTATTATGCCTCAGCTTTAATTAATGGCAGTGCAAATGTGGATTAGCAGGAGCTAATCTCCTAATATGTTATAATGCCTTGCTTTTTAACATAGAGATAGAACTGCATCAACCTATGAAAATGCAGTTTCCTTAAGGTTGCTTTACTTCTCTTCCTGCAGGAAGAAATGTGATAAGGAGAAGCGGGAAAAGCTGATGAATGAGCTACAAAAACTACTTCATGGAAAAATCAAAAACGTAAGGAAAGCTAATGCCATTAACAAATTCTGTATAACTGCAAAGTTCACAGAACCTCCTTTTAAAAATGGTGAATTGTTTATATAATTCAGTACCAACCCAGTCTCCCAAAAGCTACAGAGAATGTTATTTTAGCTGCAAGTCTTTCCCAAAAAGGAAAAAAAAATAGGATTGCAAGGCTGATTTGGCTCTTAGATTTGAGGACAGTAGTGCAGGGATGCTTTGCCAAGTCTAAAGAAACTAATTGAAAGTGAAGTTTACAATCAGCCACTCAGAGTTCTGGCTGTTGCTTTATGGTGATGCCCTGCAGAAATATTGTTT